GATATCTAAGAAAATGATATTATATATATTTTTTAAATTAATCCAGGTGTGGTGGACAGACACCTGTAGACCCATTTACGCCAGGAGGCGTGACGGGTGCGAGGATCCCTTGAGGCTGGCGTGCGTGTGTGCGGTGGAAGGAAGGAAGGAGAAAAAAAAAAACCCACATTGCAGACTCCTATTTGAGGAAGCTGACCTCTACAATTTACAAGAGAATCTCCAGAGGAGGTTGCCAAGCCCCGGCTCTTCTCTCTTCAGCGCGAGGACATGGGGGAAAGGAGACATTTATGAATCTCTTTGAGTCTCAGTCTTTTCATTTCTAAAATTGCATTAATGAAAGCCTTTCTGAAAATGGTGTTGTGAGGAAGGACATGAGGTTTGGCACTCAGGAGGCGTTCAGTAAACGGTGGTTATACTGTTGTTAGAATGAGAGAAAGCAAAAGGGAGCCTCACGCAAAACAGTAAAGAAGAGAGAAAAGAAACAGGAAAGAAAACAGCATCTGTGGACTCCAGAAGCGCCCAGAGCCCCCACTCTCCCTCGCCCACCTGAGCACTCACCCCTGATGACCTGGGTTCCGGGAGGCTCAGCAAGGCAGCCAGGGCCATGGCTCGCAGGATCCTGGCTCTGCCCTGGCTCCTTCAGTCTTCAGGGTGCATCGGCAATGGCCACTGTGCGCCAGACCCGGAGGAGAAAATGAGGCGGTGCAGGGAGGGAGGAGCTCCGAATCCAGCACTCCTTTCCCCACTCCTGTCCAGGGAGAAAGGCTGGAGATGAAACAGGCTGTGGCTGGGGAAGTAAGATGCTAGAGCTGCCAGGAAGAAGTGGGAGAATTATCAGGCACCAGCAGGACCCAGACAGCCCCTGCCTACTGCAGAGTGTGGGGGTAAGTGAAGAAAACGAAAATTAGGACGTCACAATCACCTTCCTCTTAACGAGGAAACACATTACAGAAGTTGGGATTTTTTATTTGCAGTTACTTTTGTGAATGGATGATATTCCTTCATAATTTTACATTGATTCTTTGCATCATAGAGGAATTCATTTGTTACCAGGTGATATTATATTGACCCTTTTATAGCTTTGAAAATTTTGGAGAAAATCTTTGATGTTTTCAAACATATAAGGAGAAGGAAATAATATTTAATTATTTAATTAGTAATTATTATTTTATTTCTTCTTATAAAAATGTGGTGAGGTTGGGTGCATAGCTGAATGAAATTTAACAGTCAGCTGGGCGTGGTGGCTCATGCCTGTAATCCCAGCACTTTGGGAGGCTGAGGTGGGTGGATCACCTGAGGTCAGGAGTTCGAGACCAGCCTGG